CTATGAGGGTCCTGATGCTATGGCTCAGGACTTCGGAGGGCAGGCCCCTCTGGGGAAGAGTGGTGTACACCGCATCACACGGTGCCCATCTCTCCTCAGTGCCCTCAGGAGATCAGTCTGCCAACCCTGCCGGTGTTCCAGGGCGCAGAGGTCTCCGGCGAGCGCTTCTCTCAGTTACCGCCCAGAAACATAGTGGTGCTAAGAGGCTCGCGACCTCCACGGAGGTCTCTAGAGCAGCTAGTACGGGATTACCCCCACTCTGGTGGGTCCCGAGCAGGCTCTGGTAATGGAACAAGAAGTAAACACTCTCTTGAGGAAGAAGGCAATCGAGGTGGTCCCTCCTCACGAAAGATAATCCTGGTTCTACAGCCGGTACTTCATTGTTCCGAAGAAGGATGGAAGGTTGCGTCCCATTTTAGATCTGCATCAGTTGAACCGCTCAGTCATGCGACTGAAGTCAGGAAGTTCCTGAGGTTTGCTTTTGGGGGCGAAGCTTATCAATACCAGGTTCTTCCTTTCAGCCTTGTACTCTCACCCTGCACTTTCACGAAAATATGTGGATGCAGCTCTGGCTCCCTTGCGACTCCAGGGCATCTGCATACTCAATTATATCAACGATTGGTTAATACTAGCTCAATCGGAGCAGATGGCGGCTCGGCATCGAGATGTCGTGCAAAAACACTTTGCTAGTTTTCCTAAATAATCAATGCTTTATGCAAATAACATCTAAATTGAGTCATTTAAATATGCATATATATTCATATCTTATATATTTATTTTTCAGCATGTAAAGGGCCATTGGGTGAGCCCATGCCGGTAAGAGTTCATTTAACAGTAAAACCACAAACTTCTGTTAAAGAATATCTGTAAATAGATGTTTATTGTGAATACTGCATAACAGTAATCTTTCGTCTTTCTGTAAGGTGGGGGCAGTATGGGAATCAAACTGTCATATATGCACATGTAATAACCAGACTAGAACTGAAGAGTGCATACCCAAACCTCGAGATCCCACTCCAGTCTGCAGTGTCTACTCCAGTCTGGTCTCTGATTGCTGTGACAACCAGATCTGCAGTAATGTTGCTATCTTCCCACAGAATAACATAGTGTAGAGTGCCACTGGTGCTTGGAATAAATACATATTCTTTTTAATTGATTATTTCATGAGGTCCACTGTTGCAAAAATCGATTTAGAGTATGTTTTCTTTGATTTTTTACAGCTGAGAAGATTTGCGAGTACAATGGAATAACTTACAAGGTAAAGGAAATAGTTCACATATTTACTCACAATAAGAGGTTTGTTTTGTATAGTTTTAGAGACCCCTTTAAAATACCTTGCTGTAACTAAATTTAACACAAAATACATTGAAAAATGTATGTATATGTTCTCTTTCTCTGGTGGATTCAGGTGGGTGATCAGTGGACAGACCCTTCACGTCCTTGTGAGTCTTTCAGCTGTAGTCAGACAGGAACTGAGGTTGAGAAAACCGTGTGTCCGGTGCAAACCTGTGCTGAGGTGAGAATGACCAAGCTTACGTCAGTATCACAAACTGAATCAAGTTTGTTGCTCATGTGCATAGCTGAGAAGTCTTTTTTTTTTTTTTTTTTTTTTTTTTTTATATCTTTGTTTTCTGCAGAAGAAATAAAGTCATACAGGTTTGAAACATCATGAAGGTTAGTAAATGATGACAGAATTTTCATTTTGGGTGAACTATCCTTTTAATATCAAGAGATTGTATCACCAGAGACACATACAGTACAGTGTGATGTAGATGAGATACAAATCTGTACTGTATATGTACAGATGAATATGTTGTATGGGGATACTATATGTGTAGACACTTATGCTGTACAGTATTAGAGTTAGTCAAGATTATTAGAAGTTTTTATTTTTTTAGGCTTACTATGAAAAACATGTAAAATCTGTTAAAAACAGTGTAAATTTGGTTAATAATAGTAGTAATGTACTGGAGTGCAGGAAACGCAAAGTACTTCATAAAAAACAGATAACTGTAGTGCTACCAGCATGCAGTGTTTTTAAGGTCATTTTTAATTTAAGGTCTTTTATGATTGAATCCTCAACTCTCTGAACCTCTGGACTACTGTGTTTCTGGCAATACCAAAGAGGCCAGAGGGCAAGATCAGGACCTCAAGGATAAATAACTTCTTCACTTCGATCTCTAAAAGCGTCAATCACAAATGCCACTCTGTGGCAACCATTGTAGCAATGGAACAACTGATAGCACGGTGGCTAGAACATTTTAAATGGGGGGCCAGGCTGGGGCACTGCCTCAAAAGAGGGTGGCCACAAAATGACCAAAATGAGCATGATGAGAAAGAAAAAAACATTATAGGATCTTTGGTACACTATTAAAGGGTTAGTTCACCCCAAAATGAAAATTCTGTCATTAATTACTCACCCTCATGTCGTTCCAAACCCGTAAGACCTTCGTTCATCTTCGGAACACAAATTAAGATATTTTTTATTTAAATGTGAGAGCTCTCAGACCCTGCACGTAGTAAGGACATCGGTAAAACAGTACATGTGACATCAGTGGAGAAAGAAACATCAAAGAAAACAAAAATAACATAATTTATTTAACAATTCTTCTCCCCCGAGTTACGTCTTCCACCATTACCCATACTCTGGGTTCGGGCCATTCCCGAGCTCGGAGCCCTTCCCCGGACAGCAAGCCAAATATGCATTACTATACTTCAGCTAATTATATGTAAGTGGGAACTCGTGAACTGAGCAAGAGCAGAGCCAATTCATTAAAGAACACTGTCAATTTAAAAGCACATGTCCAGTTTTGTGGGAGAACGAAAGGAAATCTGCTTGCGAGTGACATTTGTCATTAAGATAACTCTATAGAAACTGCCTAAAATTAAGTATATAGAAGAAAGCCGCCTTAGGCAGTTGCCTAGCATCTGCCACTGATGCAGTTAGAAATTTAATAAAAAAAACAAGTGAATCGCAAGACATCTGGTAGAGGGGCACCTGGGGTGGCCAACCAGATTTCAGTGCCCCTGCCGGATGAGCGACTGCATCGGTATCATCCTCGGACTCGGGCTAGGGCTCGAATTGATAAGGTAATATCGATGCCATATTTGTAACCTTATAGCATCTTTGTTTACAAGTAACCTTGTGGACTTCCGGAGCAAAAAAATTATTATGGTAATGGGAGTTTTATTTCCAACACGCATTGTATACGGAAAGACCAATCACAACAGACTTGACTAACTGACCAATCAGTGCATAGTAGGCTTATGGAAGGGAGGGGTTTACAGACCTTAAAGGGGTCATATGATGCTTTTTTAAAGATCATTATTTTGTGTATTTGGTGTAACAGATAATGTTGATATGCTTTAATGTTCAAAAAACACATTATTTTTCAAATACTGTACATTATTGTAGGTCATCTATGCCCCGCCTCTCTCAAACACTTCGTTTTCTACAAAGTCCCTCCTTCAGACAAGTGCAGTCTGCTCTGATTGGCCAGCTGACCCAGTGCATTGTGATTGGCCGAACACCACAAGCACGCGTCGGAAAGCCCGAAAGGGCAACAGAGTCGCATGACAGACACAGTGATGAAGCTGGTATGTGTTTGCAAGCCACGGTTAAGACAGCTGACTCCACTGTGATGTGACCCCCTCTC